TCCATGGGTAAATTAAGCCATGATGCACAGCTGTGGCACATGAACAGGAACACCGAGGGCTCAACCGCTGATAATAATATTCAGCCCCTGAACTCAGCCCCCACACCAATGTTTCACACCAACCTTTTCCAGTAATTCTGGCCAATCAGCTAATTTGGTGATTCCCTATGCAGGCAGTATTCCCCCCCAGGGGAGGTGGAAAATCCAGCGGGGCAGTGACTGGTTGTTTAAAATTTGCAGGAGATTAACAACACTAACCCTAACACAAAGAAAGAGGCATGGAGCACTAGGGTTGCCACCCAAGAGGAAAGGGGGCAGCAACCCAAAGAAGTTTGGGGACTACTGAGCTAATTCAAGACCCAGGGAAATATCTTTTCTTTTAAGAAAATTGAATGAACAAGTGATGCAGGCCAAATAATGCCGTCCAGCTTGACACATTTGGAGATAGTTCAAGTATGGGAATGCTGAAGAAAGCAGCAAGTTCTTGTAAATAGTTACACTTTTGCAAGATTAACTCTGGTAGATGATATTGGGTAACTATAAATTTAACGGGAAAGTATATATCCTTCCATCTGACTCTGTGACATTTCTAAACATTGGACATACAGCTCTGTAAAGTTTTCTTGTTAAAAAAAATCATTTTGGTGAGCTTGTGCAAAGAGGCACCTGTAGACTTGAGTCCACAGTATGGTATTTCTTCAAAAAGTGAACATCCATCCAGTCAGCTGGCCCATAAATGACAGATTATTCCATCACACTGATTGAAGGAAGAAGGGAGAAAGCTACATTTACCAACCACATTATTTTTTATTAGGAAATGCTTCAAAGCAAACATCATTTCAAAAGGGTTGGGTTTTTTTTTTTTTTTGAAAGAACAGCACGAACATGCAACAATCAAGGCTGCATTCGTAAATGTTCCCAAAACTCCCTAAAAGGCATACAATAATATATCACCCTAAGTAAAACAACTTAGCCAAGCTCCCAAAATAGAAAATAATAAAAGCTTCTATGCAATTAATGTCTAAGCAATGTAAACATTTGTTACAAGATCTGACATGTGTTAATGGAAATTGCACTGCTGAATTCTTGCATTTAGCTTGCCCTCCATTTGCGCTCTCTGAATGTGTAGGCTGAGCTAATATACTTCCATTAAATAAGCTAAAGCACTGAATTTGCTTGAGACAGAGATGAATGCCAAGACTTTAAAGGTGGCCTTCCCCGCCCTGGCTCCTGGCAGTTTGACAATTCCCATTACTCCCAGCCAACAGAGCCATCAGTGAGATGATGGAACTTGTAGTCTAACTTGTAGTCTAACATGTCCTCAACTGTAATTGCATTAGCAGGAGTTGCCTTCCAGTATGCATGCAAAGCTTTGTGAATCCTAAATATATGCCGATGCTGTCATCCTTTTTCTTTTTTCTTTCAAAAAATATTAGTCTAAGCCAACGCACAAAAAGAGAAATAAAATCAAGTTTATCTCTTGTTGTTCAGTTCCCTTTTTTCCCTTTACAGTTTGCGGTCCTCCAAATGCTTTGGCCTACAACTCCCATTAGTAGCATAGCCAATGCAAAGGAATGGTGGCACTTGCAGCCAGAACATTTGGAAGGTTGCAAATTACACTGTGAAGGACCACTGTAAATCGATTGTCACTGTCCCTGCATCTGCATTGAATTTCCGTAAGACCTCACTGTTCACACTTCTGTCTCTCAACCCCGTATGAAGCAAACTGAAACAGTCCACAATACTCCTTGCACTGGATGGGATGGGCTGTTGTTCATGAAAGCTGATGCCATAATACATGTATTTGTTTTTAAGATACTACAAGAGGTTCCTCCGCCCTGCAACAGACTAACAAAGATAGATGCCTTTGGAAATTGCTTCTGGTGAATCTCTGAGCAATTGGGAGACCCCCAGGGAGTGAAATCCTCTGTTCACCCCATTTCTGATATCTTTCTGAATCCATCTGTTCTGCCCATCACAGTTTGGCCTTGCCAACTAACAGACAAGGCTGTGATCCAGTGGAATGTGATCCACTAAACCCATGTTTCAAGCAAACACCGACAGCATCTCAATGAGATTATGCCAGTTTAGGCACCCCGAATTTTCACCTGTCTCCAAATATTTTTCCACCCACAGCTGTATCCATCTTTCATTAAAAAAAAAATAAAATAAAAACTTTCTAGGAAAATCCTTCTTCAGCATGTTCAAATCAGCCAATGGTCAGTCTTGAATTGAGGCAACAGACATTGCTATACTTTTTTTTTAAGGTAGCCAGATGAAAACCACTGTCCAAATTGGATTCTGGCACTATTTCTGTAACCTGGATTTATTTTTATGGCAAATTATTTCTATAAGTCTTCGCTCTTAAATAAGCATTTAGGAGAAAGACTTGAATGTTACTAGAAAAATGCTTCCTACTGCTAGCTAAATGTCAAGGTTTGCCTTCTCACAAGAATCTGACATTCATGCTGCTCTGTTTTCTTTTGCAATGGCTTTATTTTTATTAGTTCAGCTGATTGATGAGGGGTACCAGTCAGCAGGAATGCAGTGACATTTATTCTATAAAGCTGCCTTCTCATTGGCTAATAATTTTCTGAGCCATTTAGAAACCAACTTTTAGGAGAATGTCATTTTTTAAAGACTTTCTGAGAATAATTAAAGTAAACTTCATGTATTTAAAGTATATGTGGTTTTATTACTTAAAAATAGCGGCGTGGTTTAAACTTCCAAAGAAATTGGCTGCTGTTTAATTCCTAAGAAACTTCCTCAGTGGGAAGACCTGCAACCGAGAAGGCCAAGGAAGATTCACAGTACGTTCCCATGCATAATATAATTCCTTTGGACTGCGGTTTGTGTCATGATGAAACAGAACTGTGCCAAGATATCTCTTGATTAACTAGCACACAAATGAGTGATTAAGCAATGAGACAGGAATTAGATAAAATGAGAGTGGGCAACTAATAGCTTGCTAGCTTTTTAAAAAGAGTCCTTAGAATCCCACCTCTTCTCAGAAAAAAAGACTGTAGAGAAAATTTGAATATGCAGTGGCAGAAATTTCTGATGAACTTTTCAGGAAGTTCTTCAACATAATTAAAGTCAAAACTGGGTGAAGTTACAAAACTTGATGGAAGAAATCAGCCCCTTTCCACAGATGTATCATTTTAATAAAGTGGAACTTGTTCCTGGGTAGCCTGGTTCAGACATAATGGGAAACCCATGTTTTTCTGTTGTGTGTAAACCTTGTGCTTTTTGGCTTCCTCCTCCCCAGCCCTCCCTTTCTGCAGGCAAAGAAGCAAGTGAACACTTCTGCTTCTAGTTTTAAAGCGACTGTTGTTCCCAATGACATCTAAACCTGAAGAACCGTGGCTTGTTTAAACTTTGGTTTCAGAAAGAGCCAGGATCTGAAAATAGTTTGATCAAAGCATGTTGTCAAAAATCAAACAAACCATTTCCCCAGATTCAGATTTCATGGGAAATTGTAGTTAGTTTAACATCATAAGCAGATACTTTCAATTTCCTCCTGTAGTTCATGGAAGAGGAGGAAAGGAAACAGGGACTGTATGAGTCCAAAGATCAATTAGGCTTATACAGACAGCAGAAAAGCATGATTTTCCATTACATTTGAACCATGTGTACCTTTGTAACTCTGAAGTATACTAAAATAGAAAAATAAAATAATAATAATAAAAACCAGACACATAGTTTTAAATAAACAGAAAGACAAGTAGAATTGTAAGACTTACAATATACAGAAAATGTATCAGTATATCGGTCCTAGCTCTTCCCAAACACCTTTAATAGTCTGATTGTCTTCACTTAATAAGATAATCTTAAGATTAAGTTGATGCCCTGCAACAGCAGGGGGTTGGACCTGGTGGCCTTCATGGTGCCTTCCAACTCTACTATTCTATGATTCTAAGGAGGAGATAATATGACAGAAAGAGGCATAGGGAAGAGTAGCAAAATAATCATAAACATGAAGTGTCTTCTACAACCAAATATTAGGAGTGTGCTAGTTATACTGCAAGCTGAGCTTCATGTACTTGGCAGGAAGCCCTATTCATTTCACTGGAATCCAGCCACACATGTGGTTTCTGTGCAATTCAATGAGCATCTAATCTGGTCAGTACTGAATATGAAAGATGCATCAACCGGACAACATGATGGCTGTGACTGCAAGCCACATCCTTAGCTTCTCCCCCATTCCATTTAGATCAGTCATTATAGGTATTAAGGAGTGCAGAATTTCAAGTGTGCCAATACTTATAAATGAAGGTGAAAAGGTGCAGAATGGGTGGTGATAGCAGCTTCTGGTCAGGGCAAGAGGCAGCTTGGGAAGACAGGAATGGCTTTGGCATGTGAGGAAGAGCAATAGCCAAGGCTTAGAGAGGGAAGTTGCAACTGCTGGAAGGATGCATATGTCTGACATGGGTGGAAATGTGGCACATCAGAACTGGAGGGTTCTAAAAGTGAGGGACATTTTAGAAATTTGCCGCTGCTACCACGACAGATTCATTTCTCCAGCATGATTCATCAGCGAAAAAGGAAGCAGGGGAAGGCCCCATACGTTGGGTTGGAAACTCCAAACTCCCACCCGTTTACATTCAGCATCACTGCTTTAAGCACCGCTTCAGAAACAAAACAAACAGAACAGCAAAATGATACACAGCAGTCCCAATCACCGTAGACTAGTCCTTCTCCCTTAAGTTGCAGCAATACCTAGAATTACATGCACTGCCCTTATGAATGTTGTCAACAAATATATACCTGACATACAGTCAGTAGTCTAACCAACAATAGCAGATTTATTCCCCTGAATTTCAAATTCCTGAGGAGACAGGCATTACTGTATTTCTCTTCTATTCTTTCATCTGCTATTCTGTGCTGTTAACACTTGAGCAATTCTGACACAAAGTTGCTTTGAGCTATAGAAAACAGATGCCAGAGAACACGTATTAAAATATTCCACTTAATCAGTTCCAGTCATATAAATTACTTACCTCATCTCCAATCACAAGTTCTTCCCTGAGACTGTGGAAAAGATACTCATATAGCGTATAATGTTGGAATAAGCTGTCAGACAAAGACAAAAAAAAAAAAAAAATAGGGGGAACATTGTTAAAAAGAAAAAAGAGAAATCTGAAAGGAAGTGCATTAAATATACCTTACTTTTACTGGTTTTAAAAATAATTGCCTATGTGATTTTTCTCAATGATCAAACAGTAGAAATGCTTATCTGAACAGATGTTTGCTTGTTTTTATCATAGCCCCTATGATACTAGTAGGGGACAAATTCCCCTAATAATTTGCTGCTGGCATGAAGTGTCCAAAAAGGTTACACCAGTTTCAGCCACAGCAACATGAAAACATTATGCCATCAGAGGATATAAAAGCGGTTGTAGCAGGAGCATAGCCAATTAGAGAACAACTCTCTCGCTTCAAGGTACTGATGAAAGTAATGTAGTCGCCACAGTGAATTTGTGTGATCCTTATTGCTGCTATCTCTGGGCAAAACACAGTTCATATGATTGAAAGAAGCCTCCATGGCAATTCTGCAGCCAGAAAGAAACCACTTCTACTACAATAACCAACCAACCAACCAAGTACTAATTAGTTGTAGCTAGAAATCTTGAAAGTGTTTTCAGTATCCAGCCTTCCATGAATAGAATACAAGTATCTTGGTGCAAATTTAGTTATGATTATCCTAATGTTTCTTCCCAATCCATTCTTTAGAACATGCAATGGTAAGGCAACATTAATTGCATGGACAAACAGAGTCCCAAATAGTTTGCCAGGACACAGAAGACACAAAAATGTCAAAGAGAACATGAAGAAGCAGAAAAATAAAAGGCGTTCCAAGAAACTCAGTTTACTGAACTAAGTCCAACAAATTTGGGGTGTGGAGTTCTTTTTGAAGGGCAACACCCTGGGCACAAAGGGATGCCCCTTTTGGGAGGAGCCAGATAACGAAAGTTGGCCTGAAGGTTTTCACATCCGGAATGTGATGACCTCATTTCAATGAGTTCCTAACAGCTGATAAATCCTCTCCTCTCTTTTTCCTTCCCTGACATGATCCTCGCAGGTAAGTTTTTAAAAATGCAACACATCAGAAATGCCTGAGCTTAACTCTGGTCAATTCTCACAAGCCCGAGACATGCTGTACTTGTGTAGCTAGATGAAGGCCTTTGTATCTTAGGGACGGGAGGAGATTGCCTATGTGTACGTGTGTCAGTGCATATGCAACCTTATTAGTGCCCTGGCTCCCACTGAACACAATCTGGCCAAATTTCCATCCACTTATGCAGCTTGTGCAACATGTGTATTTCTTCTCCTAAACAGAACAGATTTCCTTTTCTTAATGACACAATGGAATACGTTTGGCATTTGTTTCTACTGTTCCTGATGATTAGATTTTTGGCATGACACGACAAATGATTACAGATGTGAACAAAGTTACAGCAAAGGTTTTTTTTATAACACCTTGCAAGTTCTGAAAGTGATTAATGCTGACATACTTTCCTAGCTTAACTGTTTCCTGAAAGAAAATGTCAAGTGATATGATGATGCCTGTGCTTGCTTCAGGAAACAAGATGAACGCCTCCCTGCCAAAAAACCCCCCCACCACAACCCACCAACACTGTCATCTTTTACCAAACTCAAAGACATCATCAAAGTTTCTGCATAGTTTAAGCCACCGTACTTAGGCACTTCTCATTTTTATTACATTTTGCAGATATTTAAAAAAAAAACAACAACCTTCCTGTATCAGAAAAATGGATGTAAGACTGGAACACTGAATATTTATTCTGAGGAAAAGAAAAGGTTCCACATCCATCAGTGAAAATGTATACAGAGTGCAAAAGCCTGGTATTAGCATGTGACACCTTTGGGCAATGCCTGAGGGCTTGCTACTTTTTCTGGCATTCTTTTCAGCCTCAGGCAGCTGGATACAGGAGTCCCTGTTTTAACTCCCCATAATGCTCCAATACTCTCAGTTCAGGGCACTGCGGGAAATTGAAATAGTGGTTCCTAGACCCTATCACCCAACATGGGTCAGAAAGGTGTGGGCAGGGGGAGAGAAAGTTTTAAATGCCTCTCATGTAAGGTATAATCAGTGGGTCCAGCTGGAAATAAAAGGCACCGGAAAGATCCTGTTAGGAGCTCCAGACACCTTGCTTTTAGAGATATAGAGAGGGGTATATCAGGATGAGAGATGCTGTGGCTCTACTACCCTGGCGACTGAGTGGTAAAGATCCCGCCCTTTTGCAAATGACATCTAGCTCTGGACTAGATGGGGATCAGCCCCCTAGGAATTTCCTGCAGACTGGCAAGCAAACAAGCAGCCCACAGAGGGGGGAGAAGGTACAAGCTGAGGCTGAACCCTCATCCTCTCTGCATCTGAGGCCTCCTTGATGGAGTCGGAGGTACCTCATTTCTCTACTTGGCTTTCATCCTGGTTTCTTGACTGAGCAATTCAATTCATTCTTCGAGCCCGTGGTTGAAAGAAAGAGACTCGGTGTGCTTTTCCACTTAATAGTGTATCGGAACCTCCATGTTGAAAAGTAGTACCATTCCCAATGCCAGGGAAGCACTGTTGTTATCCTATTCTGGGAAGCCTTTGCTTTTGTTGCAACTTGACAAGACATTGTTATGTAGTGGCCACACACCAATGCTGGGAAATCTCTGAATAGTACCTATTTGGAGACACTAAAGACGAATACTTCCCTCTAGTTAAATATAGGATTTTGCCATGCAGAGAGGGCTGCAACACCCGAGAAGGATCATTCAATTAAAAAAAGTAAGATTAGTAACATAATGTATGTGCACATTTAACCAACTAATCAATCTGATAAAATTCTGATAATTTATTGTTGGAGAGCTTTATTGTTTGAAATGGTTGCACACTGCCTTGATGGCTTCTCAGCAGATCAGGTAATATATAAGTGTTAATAATACATAATAATAAATACATGATTCATTAGTTAAGATTTCTTTAATCGAGTGACAGCTCAATTAAAGCCCTATTTGCGCAGGTTTGTCTAATTACAATAATTGATGCTGTTAGAGATTCTCCTGGTTTTTGTTTTTTAATTGCAAACATCAAGGAGGCCTGCTACCACAAATGTTGGAATCCCAATATAATCAGTACATAAAATCACTGGATACAGCACATACAAACTCTCCTTAATCAAAGAATAGATGGGAAGTATATTGGCATCAGTTTTCCAAATTTTGCCTCGTGAGAACTGTGGCCAGAGTGTGAACACGGTGTTTGATGGCCTATCCCAGTGGTTCTTTAGAAAAAAGGTCTAAGACGAATACCTGATCTTCAAATAATTAATGATAGCGTGGGCTTGGTCCACAGTGAAGAACTCGAATCCACCACTTCTATCTGAATGACTCTGCCCGATTCCAGCCATCGCATTTCCAAGTTCTTGGATGTTTTCTTGCAGTGTCATATGCTGGGCTGCAGTTCAAACCAGAAAGACAGTTAACCACACTTATTTTTAAGACTTGGAAGATGTTATATCAAGCCTGCAAAATCATCCGAAATTTTCTCAATTGAATGAAATATTAATGCATATTATTTAAAAATCCATTTATTTGTGGATTTTAATAAATCAATTTAAATATAAACACAGGTTCTTCTAGAATAGGTTGTACTACTTACAGTGTACAGAACAGGAGTGAGCAACTGGAGACTCCCAAAACTCTCCGTCCAAACTTGTGAGTTATGTCAAAATCCTGTGACTTCTTCTATCCATTAAGAAAGTTCTAGCCTCTTGTGGCTAGTAAGGTTATTATAAGAATGTGATGGATTATATCTACAATGCATCTTCCCTTATTGTTCTATTATAATTTTAGAAATATGGCTAATTTTATATATCCATATAACTAGGGTTTGTTCTTTAAAAAAAAAAAAGCACACCAAACTGATTATTACTTTCTTTCCATAGTTCCATTTGGCTTTCTAGAGAGCATAAAAACTATCATAAACCCTAAAATGTGGCAGCCCTTTCAGCTATTCAGCCCCACTTTGTTTGCAGATGTTCAGGGTCCATGCTGTTCCCTGTAGCAAATGTCTTCATATTTGAGTGGGATGATCTTCCAACTACTCCAGAGCTATCGGTTTTCACTATGATGTGGTGCCAAGCTCTCTTTGTCAAGGGTAGGAAGACTTCAGTTTTGTGTGGTTTTCATTTTATTAGGATCCTTCTGGCCCAAACAATATTTTTGACATGTGCAAAACCAGATTGCAATACTCAGGCTCTACTAACAGTGAAGGCATAATTAGTTTGTGAATATATGCTGAGGATAACAAGTCATATAACCTAAAACTATAGTCTGTCCTAACCATAATTTATAATCCACACCATGGTGTGAGCTTTCAGACATACAGCAAGTGAATAATGGTTTCTCTTTTGTTTTCACTTGCCATCTACTCAGCATTCCACCCTGTACGTTCTTCACTCCTGTCTCTGTTGGAGCAGCAACTTCTTAAGATAGAGCGATGGGCCTAACCATGAAATGTCCACTGTCTGTGAATTCAGACACAACAACAAACCAGTCAGCACCAACTATTAACTGTGTGAAACAGATTCTGAAAAGTCATCAGTACTCCTAATATGGCAGGTTAGTCCTCTCACAAAGGATATGATGTAGCTAAATTCCAACTCATTTCAACAGGAAAGATTTAACAACATCCTTAACTTCTTCACTTAAATCATGGCTATTCTCAAGTAAGAAAAATGAATGTGAGAAAATCAGTTTCCACATCAGAAAGAATTTTGGATTGTGGCCATTATCTGACCCACATATAAAGCAAATGATTTATACCTTGTAGATCAACTTTCAAAGAAAAAGATGATAAAACAATCTATAGCTAAATAGTAAAAGGGCATGCAGAAAGTTTTTAACAACAGGAAATGGTGGCCAACCCTACAGAACACTGCATTTAAAGCAGTGGCTCTCAGGTTTCTCTTCAATCCACTGAATAATGTCCTGTAAGTAATTGTGGGTAGTAAGTTCTAACTAGAATAAAATGAACAACCCATGGAAGTATGGGACACTCAGAAATAAAAACAACTTTGAAATAGTATTTATTTCAATAAAAAAGTAATGACTTTATAAATGCTCAAGTGAAGTCTTAAAGTAGAAAATCAAACAAAACTTACTGTCAAGGTTCTCCAACAGCAAATTTAACAGAGTCAGAAATCCTCCAATTTGCACAGGTGTGAATTCTAATGCTTTAGCCCACCAAAATCCTGAGACGTAATAATCCAATAACACAGCTTCTTTCAAAGATGTCAAACGTTCTTTCAAATTAAGAAACTCTTCCAAACTTCTGTGGTTAAAAATGGTGATTACCCAAAACTGGAGCATAAAACCACACTGGAACACTTAAGTAACTATAACACTACTTGTAAAAGAGTAGATTAAACAGACAAATTCTGTGATCTCTGATCTGGTGACCTGACTCAAAGCATTACCACATGCTTCTTGGGAACATGGCAAAGTAAGCACTACACCACAGATTCAGGCTTAATTTAGTAGAGACAAGTTTTAATTAATTATTGTACTATTGCCATGTTGTAGGATGCCCTGAGCTTTGGAAGGGCAGGATATAAATTAAGAACATTAATTAACTCAGTTTAATTTTGTACAGTCCTCCTAAATAAACCCACATGGGGAAAAACATCAGATACATTCCCTAACAGTGACAATTCAACACAAGAAAGACAGTGCAGTGATTCTGCACGGGTTCAAAGGATTCTAAATAAGGGCAGGTTTCTCTTTGTATGTATTTCAAAAAGACTCTGGTAAGATTTTATGTAAGTATGTAGCCCATTATTTCAACGGAGGGAACTAGCAAGAGTAATGTCTATCTATGTTTAAGGATAAATTCAACAGATTTACTTTTGAACTCCTGCTATATCTTGTTCCAAAAGAATGGACACCTGAGTAAAGGAAAGAAAGTTCCAAGCCATTGGCACTTCATCTTGTTCCATTTTGTCTTCTTCCTGTAGCAAGAAAATATGTTACAATAGCATTCACACACACAGAACACATGTTTCATCTTAAGGATCTCTCTTAATCAGTGCATAAAGAGAAACAATGGCTGGTGCCAACCCCAATTTAGCAGATTTGAGACAGCAGGCATAATAGGCAGATAAGTGAAAATTAATTTGTCTTACATTTGTGAATGAAGCATTTTTTCACAGAATGCAATATTGCAGTACAGAAATTTCAGTTTTTTCTAGACCAGAGGTCCATGATCTGCAGACTGGGGACACAAGCAATCTTCAATCTGATTACATGTGTTCATTGACCTAATTTCAGAAGCTCTCAGCAAGCAATCTGCTTTGTGTGAAAAGTGATCCGTCCGTCACTTAGTGGTCCATCGCACAGGAAGGAAAATGGGAGAAGGGGTGACTACATATATTTTGGCTTCATCCACCATCAGCATATGGCTTCAGCAAATTACTCTGGAATGCATGAGGTTCTCAACAGAAAAAAGATCTCAGTCCCTACAGTATGTATAAATCAAGGTCTGAAAGTCTAAACCAATGAGAATTATACTATGTTGGTACTACTGGTGGTCCTTAGTACGCATTCAGGAAGCTCACCAAGACTGTAATGAAAAAAGAGAACAACACTGAACATGCAGAAGTTTCTTTACCGATGCTAGGGCAGCAACCTACTTAACTCCTAGAAGCTCTTTTCCCTTATTTCCTATTTTCCTCCACCTTTTCTTTTCTCCCAAAGGCGAGAGCTGTTACAATGTCTTGCTGAGTCTGGGCTCTATAATGTAATATAGAAATATATAAGTATCTATTCATAAATCACATATATATTGTAATTAATTAAAATAATAATGTGCACTTCCCTTAAGAAAAATGTAAACTTTACCTACAACTTCAGGAATTAATTTCCCCTCCAAAAATACTTGCTGTGAACTCCGTTCAGAGTTCTTAATGTCCTTACAGACAATATTTAAATGCACAGATCCATCAAATCCTCCTAGAACAATTCAGCAAGGAGGAAACTGATCTCTCTTCAAAAGGAACCAATGGTTTGTTTGTTTGGTTTGTTTGTTTGCTTGCTTGCTTATTCTTTCATTTATGTCACCTATTATCATAGTCTCAAAGTGGTGTTTATGTGCTAGATTCCAAATCAATTATTTTTATGTAACTTTCATAGTTATAAAAGCTATATTAAACCCAAAATGTGCCTCTGCATATAATTGAAATAGTATAACAGCAAACAGGTTCACTGTTCCTAAATATACATTTATTGTTGAAAGCCTCAAATTATCCATGTTATCACCAGGTAGCTAAAATTCAAAAGCATCTATTTTTGAACTGTTCTGTTTCTTAAACAAGGAAGCTTACCAAGAATAGCTGTGCTGATTTATAGTTCCACTCAAAATAGAAATGCCATGTCCTACAAGACAAAGTCAATATGACGAGGAAGACATTTCTCCCCTTCCCTTTAGAATTACAAGCAATTATAAAAGAAAAGAAGACCTTCTTTGTAAATGACTCTGCAGAACTGCATGAATTTTCAATTAGAAATGTATACATACAACCTAAGTTGTACTGGTATAGCTATTACTAATTCATATCTAATTAACAACAAAAAGGTGAAAAGCCAAATTCTTAACACTGGATATAAATCCAAAAACCATTACCTCTAGTGAATTTCTGTTATAGATGGTTTCCCCAGTTCAGAGATCCATGTACACTCAAATTTTAAAACCCATCTCTTCCATTCACAAAAAATTCCATTTATTTCTCAACCCTCCTGAGATGCCATGCATAAGGGACAGCATATAAAAGTTTTAAACAAACAAACAAACAAATAATGTCTGTGGTGATGTCCTAGGTTTATAAGTGACTGCTGGATCAAAGCAACTACCACATTTTGGATTATGAGTTTTTAGTCCCCTTGACAGGAACATTTTAAATGAAAGTATACTTTGTCTAACATCTGTCCTAGACAAACTAGTGGAAAGTGTTATTAAATTCTGCTGGCTCAGACGCAGTGCCAGTTTTTATCCAGCAGAGATTGGTCAGATACTTCCAGGAAGCCCACAAGAAATGCATGAAGGAAAAAGCTTTCCTCATCATTTGTTTTCCCAGTCCAGGAATTAAAATTCAGGGGCATGGAGGTATGACTTATCTATCATGCATATAAATATCTGAAGGAATTTCATGTATTAGAGGGAGGAGACCTTGTTCTCCATCACTCCAAAGAAATGAAACCAGTGGGTGGAAAATGTAAGGATGCAGAAGTCACCTAAACACTAGAAGAAACTTCTCAACGGTAAGAGCTGTTTGACAATGGAATAATCTGCTTTAGGAAGTAAAAGACTCTCCATTACTGGAGGAATTTAAACAGAAGCCTTCTGTCAAGAATGCTGTAGATTACTGCACTGATTAGGGGGTTAGACTAGATGACCTTCCAACGCTATGATTATAATTATTCTTTCTGCAATGAAATTGTCAGGTTCCCCCTTGAAAGTTGCTTAAGCTTGTGGCCATCACCATATCTTGGGGCACAGGTTAACCAACAGTTCAATTCTACACACATCTCCTCAAGAGTAAGTCCCATTGCTTGTAATACGACTTACTCCCAGGTAGGGTGATATAGGATTACAGCCTAAGTCAGGTTAAGCAATTTGTAACCCCAAACATCTTGGGAGTTACGACTTCCATCAGCCTTAACAAACATTGCCAATGGTGAGTGGCTATGAGCAGCTGTAAACCAAAACATCTGGAGGGCCACAACTTGACCAGTCCAGGCTAAGCTTTGCACAAAAAGCTTTTATATATAGGCCTATGCTGAGTATATGATCCATCAATTTCACTGGATGCCCCTCGGTTCTAACATGAAGAGAAATGGAGCAAGCTCTTTCCCTATCTACTTTATGCATGATTTTAATAAACTATCATATTCATATGTTATATTTTTCAAAAACAACAAGTCCCAAATATTTTCCTATTCCAAGCTCCAGCCTCTTGATCTTTTCAATTGCTCTTTTCTTACCTTCACCAGTCCTACAGTAATATTTCTAAGATGGACAAAAATTATTCACAGTATTGCAAATGAAGCTTACCCCTGATGTATACAGGCTGTCCTATTTTTCAGTCTCTTTCCTAACAATCCATGCCATGGGATTTGCCTACAACCACACAGTATTGTTTGCAAGATTAAGCTATTCACCACAACCCAAGATCTCTTTCCTGGTTTATCAGATTCCACCAATTATACCAGAGAAGCTGGGACTTATTCCCCTAATGCATGTTACTTTTCATTTGAATTTCATTTACAATTTTGTTCCACCTTTTACTCAGTTTGGAAGGATAGTTTAGGAGCCTGAGTTACCACTGCCCTGAATAAGTTGGTATCGTCTGCAAAACTGGTTATCTTACTTCTCCACCTGATCATTCATAAACAAATATCACCAGTCCGAATCAGCAATACACAAGTCCTGGTATAGTCCCAAGCAGCAGTATGATCCCTATACAGTTTGGGAGCTCAACTGCTTATTGCCTCCCACTGTGATAACCGTCTGAGTGACAGTGCAGTGCAGCGGTTAGTGTTGGGCTGGGACTGAGGAGGTACCATTTCCAGGGCCCACTTAGCTATGAAACCCTCTGGGTGGCTTTGGACCAATCACTGACTCTCACCCTAACCTACCTGAAGGGTTCTAATGAGGAGAACAACTATGTAAGCCACCTTGGTTTCTCACAAAAGGAAAAAAATCAGGATCTACATGTAATGTGAATATGATGGTGTAGTAGTAATAATAATGTCCCAAGTCTCTGCTTCCTGTTCTGTAACCAGTTTCCAATCCATAATGTGTTTTATCCAATTACTGCTAAAAAAGGAGCCTTTCATTATAATGTAAACAGTTTCACTTTAAAGAATTCACAGGTTTATGTAGCTTCAGATACATACTTATTTTTATTTTGCTCATTAGCCCAGTTGAATTAGTTTTCAGCAACCCTTTCTGAAAAAGGTGGTTCAGGCAATGTTACTGGCTCAAGAATTTCAATAATGAAGACCGTTACTTGAAAATTTATCCAAACTTTTTCAGTAATAACTTTTCCACACCCATGTCACTTAACAATTTAGCTTCCTGGCTGCTTTCTGCGTTCTGATGTGTTTCAAAAAATGGTTTGCTTATATTAACATCCCCCTTGGACTATTGGTACTCAACAGCGAAAGAGTGTCTGAGTAGCTTTTAAACTTCATTCTGGGAGAAAGCTGACAGAAACTGCAGAAGACTTGAATTGAGACCATCTATCCCTTGGTGATGACGGTAAAAATATTTCTAGTCACCAAAATGGGGTAGAACAGGGTAGAACTTAGCAATAGTCATACTGAAAGATATGATGGCTGCTTCTGGAGATCAAAGTGTTTGCTGTAAGGTGAATTACACATGGAAAGGCCATTTGGAGCGGGACACAATCTACAGAAGTTTATATGCTAATACTAGAAACCTCCAAACCAAGGTTAGGGAATGGAACTGCATGGTGCAAACAGAAGACAGGAACTTATAGCAGGCATATCAGAGATGTGGCAGATTACAGAGAATCCAGGAAAAAGAGCAGATATGCCATTAATGGAGATGTTTTATTTTCCTACTTTTATGTGATTCCTTGCAATTATTTTTTCAATAAAACCTTTGAGGTTTACCAAAAATAAGCATTTAAATTCACAGACTTTTCCTAACAGAGTCAGCTTTTGTACTATAACCACAAATTGCATTTTTCTAGATCACAGTTCCAAATCCTGATGAGAATCTAAGGTGTTGACCTATTGCATCTATGATAAAAGGATCTGAATGCAAGAAAATGCAAGCACTTCCCTTAACTAAGTCCAAATAAATTGCACTATTAATCCTTGCACAACCTGAAGTATTGCACTTTAGGCAACTTGATTGACTGTTAACCCTTCATGCCCAGTGTTTGCTGTACAGTACTTTTATTTTATTAACAAAGTTGATTGTACATTATTTGTATCTGTCTCTGGGCTTTAAATAAATGTTCTGACCTGAAAGCTTCTCAAGACTGTGCTTTAAAAATATATATAGCAGCATAACTTCCTGCTGTCATTTCTAATACTTTCTTTAAATGATAGTTTCCTAACTTTTTGTTAAAGGAAGCCACCAGTATATTTCTGGTTTAACTAGAATACTGCTCTTAGGAACCCTGGGGACCCTCAGAAGCCTGTCAAGCTTTCCTCAATAAGAAAATAATGAACAGCAGACAACTACTTGAAAAATTGCTTCCCCATCATTACCAATCCCCCTCTACAATGCATAGCTGTAGGGGAATGCTGGTCATATTTGAGAAGACATGAAGCAAGTTCGCACATCATGCTAAGCCACTAACACTTACAATATTACCCATTTGCTAACACGCTGAAGTCCCATGTATATATTAATGTGCTTTAATGCTCCATTTCCCACTTAAAATGCTACCACATCCTCTCTAGCTAGTGTTCAGAAATTCTGTCCCAGATGATAGACCCCATTGCCCTGTGCTGTGTAGACTCAGATACAGTTCCTTCAAAGTCCACTCAATCTACTGAAAACGGGGGTCTAGCACAAAATTGACAGCTGGGGGTCATCGTGGCAGTGAGCTGGCAAAGGACAGTGTAATGGTTAGCATAGAGAGACCAGAGATTACATGAAAAAGGATGAAAGAACAGCACCATATGGATTTTCTAGAAGCTTTTTTTCCCAGCTGCAGAAAAAAACACTCAACCTAGTTGCTGGGAATATTAGCTCAGAAGGAACAGGGGCATCTGAGGGATGGATACAGTAAATGACATAATTGTCCCTGCTCATCTAAAGGTGTTAGTAATAAAGTCCTCTTGTATTTATGCTTTTCAAGTTTCACCAAAATGCACCTCTCTGGATTCTGCAGTAGCCTTATGGACACTGGTACTGGGATTCGTAGTAGTATTTTCATTAACACAAACACTCATGCTTTGTCCCACCTTGTTACTTTTACCGCAGTCCAGAAACAGAGGAGTATGAAAAATATAAGCTTGTGTAAAAATGATAGGGCTTTTTCCGGATATTGTCAGATTCACCAGTGATCACAGAAGGGGACAATGAAAAGAATGATCCTCTGACAGATGCTAAAATGTTTTCACATTTAATGTTAAACATCATGCCTACATTTCACAGATGGTATGTAGTTGGTCTCCTTCTACCAACGGAAGGCATCCATCAGCAGAACATGGAAGGGGAAGATTTTTAGGATCTGCAGCTGCCTCAATACGCTGTGGAAGAGACCCTTTGGAACAGTGTGGGAGATGCTGCAGGGGTACTATCTGAAAATGGTCCCCCACCCCATTATATTGGTGGATGTCTGGAACCAATGGGACACCACTGGAAACCAGTCTATGACCTTGTGAGAAAAAAATGGTGGAAATGAATTTGATCATAAATCAATTTTAAAAAGCAGGTACTAGCACAATTAAGACTGCATTTTTTGCATAAAATTCATGCACACCAAGAAAGGAGGAAACACCCAAGAGACACATCTGAAGCTGGTGAATAGATTAGGATTAAAAATGTTGAAAGCAAGCGAAATGAATCTAAGTTATATATTGCCAGTTGCTAAATGGCTATAATATGCGTTGCAAAGCATTATGGGAAGAGCTGCAACTCAACATGTCTTACATGCAGAAAGTCCAAGGTTCTCCAAATAGTACTGAGAATAACTCCATGCACATGATCACAGGAGGGAAATAAGCCACGGTGGTGGCTTATTTTGCCGGACACATGTATGTACCACTTTACGACTCTGCTACAGCCTATAAATTCTCCATGGCTTGTTACCATGGTAACAAGCCACCCACCCTAGGTTTGCATGACAAGGCAAGCTGTGCCAGCAAGAGCAATTAAGGGAGAAGCTCCAGCATGTTACCAGCACACACAGCAGGGGAAATTAGACACTGTGGCTTATTTCCCTCACTAGACAGACCAGCGATCTGACTCAGTATAAGAAAGCACACCATGTTTCTGTCTAATTATACACCAGTATGTTTTAACAGTTACATTTTTGTTAAAAACTGCCCAAACTAATCAAGAAATCCCTGATGGATTATTGACCTGATTAAAGACCATGTTTTCGATCGTATTTTGTTTGCAGGTGCACAGTGTGATCTAGTATGTTATTTTACTACCATAGAATACTGTGTAGGATTGCAGCCATAAATACCATGATTCAGAAGTCTGAAAGTCTGCTTCTATGTGCATTTACTCATAAGTCAGTTTGTGAGAGCTCAGTGGGACTTAATCTCAATTAAGGGTTCATAGGACTGAAACCTGAAGCTAAACTGTCTTCCTTTAAAGATATGAATGTAAGCATCTATTTACAAAACAGCTAAAATCACTAGGCACAAGAAAAATTTGGAATTAAACAGGCTGTGCCTGTAGCTTTACAATCAGACAAAATACATCAAGAAGGAAAGCGAAGTAAAAGTGAAGGTGGATCAGTCAGGAAGAATCACAGGCAAGAATACTTGTCTCTTCAGGAAGTGGTGAAATATAATAACAACAGAAAGGAGTCAGATAAGGGAAATTGCTTTTCTATTTCTGCTGGATGTTTGGATAAACCTGAAAAAAGTGTGAATGAGAGAGTGAATTTTAAGTTGTATTTTGGCCTTACACATAAATCAATAAAAGTTGCTAGCCTAGTTGCTAGTAAAAATTGCTAGCATCTGAAGAAGCTGGTGTCCTGCATTTTCCATGCTGGTTATGAAGAGAAAGCCTTCTTCTGCAGCTAGTGCAGAAACCAGGTGAGCTGGTGAAGGAAAGACTGGACAATCCATCCTTCCTCTGTCAACTTTCTTACATCACTGCACATGGAGCTCCATGCACTTACTTAAATGAAGTTCCCGGCTGCTGTGTTATTAAACACTATACAAATACACTCATTGATGATTTTAGGCAGGTGATTATAACCTTTTTATTCCAGCAGCCTCTTACTTTGCTTAAATTTCTATCAGCTTGTGTGCTTGTTTTGTTGACTTGTTATAAAGCCAGGGAGTATTTAAACTTCTTTTAATTAGATTGTCAATTCTGTAAATCATCCAACGAGCTCCTTTAGAGATGAAAAACCAGTATATAAATATGTTTTATGTAAATTAATAAATACCTCTATAATTGTCATCCTTTTGCTAATAGGTTTCCTGAGTCCCTAGCAGTTGAATGGCAAACCATAATTCTTGGAACCTTTTCTGTTGAACATGATACCGTGTTGAGGCAATATCATGTTGAATAGCTTCTGGGCAGCTATTACGATATAGGCACCCTATTTTGAAAAATGACAGCAACCCACTAATCCAAGCTATACTTTTTATTCTTTTAACTGATAGAAGCCATTGCTTTAATAGCTTCACAACAGTCAGAATTAAAAGCTGAAGCTCATCCCCACATAGAATGCAATGATGTAAACTTTCACCCACAAAGCAAGTAAGTGATGGGGGAAACCATGTGATAATTACATGGTTACATTAATTAGCCAGTTTTGCTAAGGATCATGTTAATATGCTACACTTCATGAGGTCCTAGATTCAAGTCTTGCCACTACCACAAAGTGGCCTTACGCAAATGTCTCCGTCAAACTCAGCCATTTCATCTACAATGTCAGCATAACAACTCGTTGCCTAGCCTACCTTGCAGCACTGTTGTAAGGATAAAATGGAGGACAGTGCAAGCCACCTTGAGTTCTTTGTAAGAGGAAAAAGGTGGCATATAAATAAAAAAATAAAAAGAAACGTACTTCACAGGGCTGTCACAAAGATTACAAGATGGAACCATGTCTGATACACTTTCAACACTCTTTAGTGTCATATAAGCAGTTCCCCATCAGCCTACTCATGGCAGCTATATATTATCCCTAATATCAGAGGATCCTGAATACCAGTTAAAAGGAAGATGCTGTTGCGTCCATGCTCTATTTGTGGGGTTTTCACTGGGCATCTTGGTGGCCACTGTGGAAAAAAATGACAACATAAACACACTCCAGCTACCATATGTTGTTATAATCCACAGTGGCTTGTTGGATCCTACAAACAACCCTAGCCTGTTTCTTACTAACAAGTCCCACCGAATTCAGGTAAATGTATACAGGATCACGGCCCTATGTTAATGTCCAGTTAACCTGGGCCAGTGTAGTGTAGGGGTTAAGAGTCCAGGGCTGGGACTCAAGTGATCTGGGCTGTAGTCCTCACTCAGCCACAGAGTTAACTGGGTGACTTTGGTCCACGCATAGAACCTCAGTCCAACCTACCTTACAGGGTTGTTGTGAAGATAAGACAGAGAGGAGAATTATGTAAGCTGCCTTGAGTTTTGATCATCCAAACGGCGGGATGTATTTAAAATAAATAAACTGCTAACATGATTGTTATTTAATCAAATGTTATATTTTAATAAATTGATAGGTGTTTTACATGAGATATTGGAGCCTCGAACTCTTCAGAAAGAAAAGACGACATCCTTTTGGGAAATGGCAGCCGAGGCCACCCAGTGCACGAGGTTCCCCGAAGGGCGGCAGCCAAACGACGCGTGCGGACCTTCCTTAGCTACTCGCCAGTAAACCCACTGAGCTGCCCGGGACCGGCTGCTTGGGAAGGCCGGGCGGCTTGCGACGGCCGTGCAGCCGGCGTGAGGCGAGGAAGGAGCGCTCGGGGCGGGGTCGCGGGCCCGGCCTGGGGAGGGGGCACCGAGGCCGGCTGCCAGATCGGGCTGGCCGGCGGCCTCCTACCTGCGCGGAGATACTTTCCGGCTCTTTCTCCCTCGCCTTGTCCTTCTCCTTGGCCGCCATGTCCGCCTGCCCGAGCGTCGCGGCGTTGCCCCGGGAAGCGGCCGGGGCGGAGCTGGAGGCCGCTCCCCGAGCCGCCCGCCCTCCCGCTGCCCTTTCCGCGGCCTCTCGGAGAAAGTTCAGCTCGGAAAAGCCTACAACTCCCAGCAGGCCCCTGCCCCGCGGAGCGAGGCCTGCTGGGAGTTGTAGGCCTTCGCAGGCTGCGCCCTTCCGAGCTGGCGTGTCCGCGGAGCGCCCCTTCCGCTGGCGCCCTGGTCGCAGCCGTGCCCCGCGAGCAGAGGCAGGCCGTGGAAGGGCTGGTATCTTCTCGGGAAACCGAGGGGCATTTCCGCGGCAGGCGCCGGCGCCCCTTCGCGCCGGCCTCGCCCTTCTCTCGGGCCTCCCCAAGCGCGCCTGATGCGGCGTGGCCCACGGCTGGGCTGCCCGCTCCCGTCTTCGAGCCGGCTCGGGGGCTTGGGCCCAGGCCTCCTGGAGTTCAACCCCCAGTGCTCCTGGCCGTGGGGCCTGCGGGCTGGGGCCGAGGCGGAATGGATTAGTCCTCCTTATTTGAAACCATATTTGAGTTTGATGGCTTATTTATTCCTTTATCGCATGTGTATGCTGCCCTGTAGCCAAAGGCTCTCTGGGTGGCTCACAGTACAATATAAATATATTTAAAATACAGATAAAATAAATGATGACAAACAAACCATAGAAGATAATAAAACTACAATACTACAGAGGGTGCCAAAATGTATGCACATTTTAAGAAAGGAAAAACTATTAAAATTGTAATAATACTAGTCACGTTTGACTTCTGCAATTACAAGGGGTGCTCAAAGTGGCTACCATCAGCATCCAGGTGCTTCTGATTACGGTGAACTACTGCTTGAGCAACGTTGACCAAAGTGTCCACTTGTATTACTGCACATACCGCTTCAGTTTCTTCCTGATGTACCACCATCTTTTGAGCAAACATCATACTACACATTGCTACCGTGATTCAATTCAGATTCAAAAAGTAATACATAGATAACATCTCTTAAAATGTGTATACATTTTTGGCACACCTGGTATAATTACAACCATACATATAGGAAACGGGAGGAAAATAAACACAATATGACCAATAAAAGCATAAACAATACAATAAACCAGCAGCAAACCAATAATCCAGTCTAAAACAGATACTAAATAAAAAAGTCTTGACTTGGCACAGAAAGCGAGATAAAGTGGGTTGAATCCGTGTAGGTTTACTTAGAAGAAAGCCCCCATCACTCCTGTATGCTGTAGGATTTGCTCCTAGGGCAATGAGTTTAGGATCTGAATAATCTTGGCTCATTACTTTTGGGAAAATTTGCAATAGTCCTAATAAAGATGATAATGCTAAAGGACTGGCACAAGTATCTGTCATTTTTGCATTTTTAAGGAAGCGATCTGGGCATGCTGGGAGTTGAAAGATTTCCCACCATTTAAACATGCATTGCATTGCATTGCATTGCATTGCCTATGAGAAATGTTTCAATAATTCATCAGGGTGGCTAAAGTGTGGGAATATGCAGAGCAAACCTTGTTCTGTGTTCCTGAATGTATTCCACCAAGATTCTTTAATCAACTCACCCTGCATCAGTATATCATGTAATATCTATTATAGGCATATAATCATACCCTTAATGTGGAATAATTACTGTCTGTTTGCTATTATTCCTTACCCTCAACCACTCTGGTTGTAGGAAGAGGCAAATTAAAACTTCAAGGATAATTTAAATGAATTAATCAGAGTATGACCATCCTCTCACACAATATCCAGATGAACTCGATCATATTCATATAGCTTGCAGAATACAGAGCATTGGGAAATTGTCCTGCAGTCACATTTAATTCTCCGCATTTTTCTTCAGTCTTGCAGAAGCAAGCTGTGTCTGTAGCTCAAAATAGTATCTTTAATTGACAATAATATATGTGTATTTAGCTGAAGAGGAAGTAACTGCAGCTATGCCAGCATCAGCTGCAGAACATTACAGGGAATTTATATAGAAATTCACGGGGTTTCATCTACACCATCTCAAATGCTGTAACTAATTCCACAAAACACCACTGGATCCAGTTGCCTGTGCCCTGTTATAATGGACCACATGGTTTTGAGCTAATCTGGTTGGTGGATATGTATGCAGAGAGGTCAGAGGAGCTCTGAAACAGTGAAAGAAGGGATGATCTAACTCACACAGGCAGCATTTTTAAAACCATAAATCACAGTCTTCACTAGTAAGGTAATGGGGTTTTGCTTGCATCTTGCGGCACAGATTAGAAGGTCAGGTATAGTTCTTTGTGTCTTGCACGGGATGGAGCCCTTGCTCACAACTTGCAGAAAGCAGCCTGCAGCTGAGAAACAAGGACAACTCTTAAATGAGTCACAAAGATCCCTAAAAATCCAGCCTGTGTATTGCTAGATTTTGGCAGATTTTGTTACACAAATCTGCCAGCAATGGCTGTATATCTAACTTAATGACTTCATGGCTAAGTGCCCAGTTGTTCAAAGAAGGTGTGGGAAGGTTGACTCTACAGCGTACTCAGGCCATTTCCCTGCTTCTTCACATTCCCTTATAGGTCTGGATTTTTTATTTGCCATGCACAAATCAAGAGGACATTCCCAGTTGGAGGGCAACCCATGGCATTGTGCAACTATTCTGTCTTTCCCTCCTTAGGACACAATCTTATGCAGGCCTAGAAAGAAAAAAACCATATAATATGCATGGGATTGCACCCAGTACAACCTGAAAGTGCATAAAGAGTTCAAGAGGAGGAGTCCCAATGCCACACTTCCCAGCCCATTTGGACTCCTTAAGGTAAAATGGGCAACCTGCTTCCGAGGTTGGCAGTGAATAAAGCAGTGATTTTCCACCTGATGTATTGTTACTATCTGATGTGATTTAATACCTGATGATGAAGATGGACTACGTCAGGACAGTACCTGAAAGAAAAAGAAAAAAAAATCCCAAGCATTACGTTCTGCTGGCAGTACTTGGCAGTTTTACAACACAGCTGTTACCAGCTACTGCCTCCGTGATTTAAACATCAGAAATATTCAAAACCCAGTTTGGAGTTAAGTTGTCATCACGGTGTTCAGTGTTAACAGGTGTAATAACAAACTACACTTCCCACAGAAGGGGTTCAAAATAGCATCTTAGTCCCCAGAGAGTCAGTCCTTTGAATAGACAGAGTGAGGCAAAAGGTGCTGTGGGTTTGGAGCACAGAGTGAGGTGTTGGAGGACATGCTGCATGGACCATGCAGTCTGCCCTGTACCCATTAAAGTAACCTTTCACCCTCAAATTCTGCGGAGGGCGCTGTCCCATCACTGTGCAGAAGTAACATTCACCTGCCAGGCCGGGTGGCTTCTGCGTGTCGAACTGGGGAGTGAGAATGTCATTGCCTTGGCCCAGCCCTTAGGGAAACTGCCCTGATGATGTTTTTTCCTACACTACCCCAAAGGCCCCCGAAAGAAGTCTGCCTGGTGCTTTCATTACCAGTGTGTTATTTATTCATTTATTAAAAGCTTTTATATACCATCCACTGCAAGCGTCTTGGGCTGGTTTTGGTGCCAGGTGGAGACTGTTGTATTCTCCAGGATATATATTGTGAATTTTCCATTGCTGTTCTAAGCTGCTATACCTGCCCATATTGTTGCATTGTAGTATTTTTTGGTGTGGGCTATTTTAATGGAAATGCGCACTATCCAGAGGCCGTAACAGGGCTATAGGCGCAGTCTACACATTTAAGAATAAATAAATATTGTGAGAGGCCCTGAACCACACTGGAGGATTGCCACAGCTGTTTTTCATCATAACCCAAACCCAGTTTCCACAGAGCTAGAATTGCAGTGGTGACCAGTCACGGGTTGTTCATCTTGCCTCAGAGCTGCACATACCACCAGCTCCAAGATAATGTAAGAACACATGACAAAACTCCATCTCTTTGTGCTTTTAGTATTTACTGAATCTCTCCCTCTTTAGAAATGCGTACAGGTGTGCACCTTACGTGTTGCTCTGCAGGACGAACATTTTTTATCCTAAATTCACAGACGGTGACTGAGACAATAGCATAAATCATGACTACAGCAGATCACAGATGACCAGCCGTATTGGCCAGCAGACTTACAGGATCATAAAGTAATTAACATCAAGCGCTGGGAGTGGTCAGGAGAGAGAGCTGGCTACAGGATGTAAAAGAATGGATCTTGATAGTGATGAAAGGATGATTTGAAACAAGGAAACAGGAGGAGTAAAAATGTAACAAAGAAATTCCTTAGCCAAAAGGAGGAGGGGGCTGAGATCAGATAGCAGGAGGGAACTGCCAGGTAGACAAGGTAGCAGGATACTTGCTTAAGGACCTCGTGACGATTAACAAACATAGCCTGCATAGGAAATAAGCTCATTATAATTCACCTGGGAGGGAAGAACAGGTATTAGAGTGGCACAGATTGGTGGACGGAAAAGATTTGTAACCTTCCCGTACGCTGGCCAATGAGGGGAAGAAGAGGAGGGACGGAGTGGCAGGGGACAGGGCATAAAAATGGGATGTGAACATGTGCTTGGTGAGCTGGCAAGGGAAAGGAAGCTCTCCAACTCCCTTTATTGCAATAAAGTTTCAAAAAGAACTCTGCTGCTTGAAATATTTTTCTTTTCTGAAGGAACGTCAAGAGTGTTTCTAACAGATCCTCTCTAAAACAGGGTCATGGAAGAACTGCAGTCCTAAGTGTTCAACCTAAGCTTAGGCCAGACTTGGCAAAACTGATGTGTAAGCCTTGGGAAGGAAGTTAACTACCTTGAGTAGTAATTGAGAAATGACTGCCTTGATTTACTGCCATCAGCCTTGTACTTTATTAACACTTTGCACTATACAGGAACTGCTCTATGGATAAATGGAACAATTCTATGTGAGCCTTTGGTTCATTGCTGTGATTCTGGACTAGATAGATTTTAGCTGATCCCACACAGTACTTTTCCTGTCTTTTATGTCTCTG